AACTCCCATAGTCAGAGTTGGAATGGAGTGGAGTGGCTCAGGAAATTAATAATATGATACTGAGCAATTTTCCTGTAGGCCAGCAGAGCTGAAACCAGGGCAGAACAGAAGCCCGTACCCTTTCATAGGGTCCAGTGGGGGATTTCCCACTGCAACTGCCGCGCTAGCAGACAGGTGGAAATATCATACAGCCACCATGGAGCTTGACATTGCCACCCTTGGAGACCAGACTGCCCTTCCAGGCCTCCAGAGCTGCACTCAAGAGTTTTCGTGGGCCACAGGACTAGCGCAATGCGGCTGCCATAGGTGCATTTGTTCTGTATGATGTATTTGCCATTGATATGATGCCCTCCCCGAGGAATGCTGTGGTGGTGGTTGGGTTTTTTTTTTTTTTTTTTTTTTGGGGGGGGGGGTGTAATTTCATGTTCAGTGATGCTGAAATTATGGCAAAGCCTGGAGAGAAACCTAGGTCTTCTATGAAGCAGCAAACCACACTTTCAGGGGAAAAAATCAAAAGCAATTTAGTAGTATGACTAGTACCACTATTTCATGGGCCCAGAGAATTTTCCTAGGAAATTCTATTCAGGTAAGGTGGAAGAAAAGGAATACAATTTCATGTGAGAGAAGAGGATTACAGCAGGACATGCAAAGATGAAGTAGATTATATATATACTACAAACTTGAATGACTGAGACAGTCTACCATCATTACAGGCAGACGAAAGGTAGGTGTGTTTTATTTCATTGTAATAGGGCTTGAAAATGAAAGCATAAATATAATTTAAAAAGCACTGTGAATCTATTGGTTAGAGGCGAAGGTATGTTCTAATTCAAGTCCTAATAATAGGTAAGTAGTCATCAAACAATCTATTCTGCCACAACACTTGAATGGGAATAAAAGGGAAAGACACCTAGCAACAGTCAAATTTACCTAATTCAGGCACTGATGATGATAACAAAAACAAAATATGAAGTAAGAAACAACAGAGTGCTAGTAGTATATTCAAATCTGAAGGAAATGGGGAAAAAAAAAAAAAAGTTTTTAATCCGAACCAGAGGAGAAAGGAATCAAGTCAACAAACAGTGAGTAATAATGATTACTTCCCATGCCCTGTCTTTTCTAATTCACTGCTCTTGTAACCCTGAGACTTCTAAGCATAATGTAAAGTGTTAATGTAAAAATCTGAAGATTCTTCATATGTTTGAATATATGTGAAAATATCTGAATATTTTCTCTAGAAATTTTCCATTTTTTTCCCCTCAGGCCTTGCATATGGATATCAAAAGGTAAGAACGCATTTAAAATATGAAAATAGTAGTCCTTTATAATTTGTGATGTATTCTTGCATTTTTGAGGGTCTATTTGCTTGCATTTGATATTGTATGAAAAATAAGCAGTTGCTTGGCAATTTCTTAGTCTTTTCTCAGCAAGAAATCACAGTAATTAGTTAGTCTCTGCATCTCTGCATTTTATTGTATAAAACAATAAAAAAAGAAAAAGTTCTGTTTTGTTATTAGTAGTATAGAATTAATCAAATCAAAGCAAAATAAAGTTTTGAGGTTATCCATTTGAACCGAACAAGTAAAATTAGTTATTTATTTCCTGACTTAAGGATTAAATGATTTTAAAGTACCCCTAAACTAGGGCATACACCAATGTATGTATGTATCTCGATACTTGTGGGACAAGCATGTTCTAGGATCTCCTATATTAACGTTACTGATACTGGAATAGCCATGAGTTGCTTTATGGAGCTTTCCAAATTTACAATAATGTGACAAAAAATGCATATCCAGTTTGTGATCCAGTTTTATTGTTTCTGAGAAATGGAGAGGGCATCAACTTAAAGATATTAGACATCAATCCACTTTCCACTGACATAGATGGCAAAATTCCCACTCATTTCAATAGTGGAGAATTGGGCTGTTTGCCAGCAATTTAACTTTGGTACTGTGGCTAAATCCTGTTGCCATTAAAGTTGATGGCAACATTTTATTGACACCTATGGGAGTAGGAGTTTAGGCTTAATACCAGTGTTCATTTAATAGCCATGCCTAATGCTTCCTTCTGGCAAGAGGAAATCAGACAATGCATATTAGGAATGTGCCATTCAGATGCTGGGTCACTCATGAGCGAATAACTTTTTTAGTACTTCAGAAACAGAAATCATGGCAGAAAAGGGGACCAAAAATCTGTTCTCCTCTTCCATATCTCTCAAGAACTATCAACAGCAAGGGACTGCAGTGGCATTTTTTAAAAAAAGTTGTCTTTTGTCTTGGCATCCCCCAGTTTTGCAATACTTGGAGGATCTGTGACAATAAATAGAAATTGTAATAAGCAGCAGAGCATATGAGGTGACAAGTGAAGTCTCTGAGTTCTTGGTGTACTAAACTTTCTTATGTAAAATGCCATGGAAGAATACTGAAAAGAAAAAGAAGTTGATTTTCTGATGTTTAAATGGTAGAAAGCTTAATTACAAGCAAGTCTGCTTTGATGAGAAAAGTGTTAGATTGATATAAAACCTTAATGCAATTCCAAGAACTAGTGGTCATTTGCGATATTAGTGGTATTTACTGTAGTCATAATGGAGTGCTCTATTTATAGATATAAAAATATCCTAATGAAAAGATAACAACATCAGTCAGTATATGGATATCGTGTATGTATGAAAATCCTATTTACTACCTTCAATAAAAATATTTTAAATTATTCCTCAAAATATAAATACAATTCTTCAAAATAAAATCAAATATTTTAATCCTCAAGAGAACAGATTAACCAAATGTTCCTTCCATGCCATGTTGGGTGAGAATATCTTGTTGCAACGCTAAAAATTCTCAGTCCATCAATTAAATACAGAATCAGGGCACCATCTCATATTTCCTTGTCAAATAAATTATGTCTTACATCAAAGACCACACAGATTCCTACTTAACAAAACAACAGTATGTCTGAACATATCATAAATGTGAAATATGAAAGAGAACAAAATGAGACAGCCAATAAAATGTAGGATTTGTTAGTCAGATAATATATACCTTAGAAATAACGTTATTGTCGCTCAGAATTGCGATTAAGGAAATATATTTAATCTGTCAGTAAATTTTCGGATAGAATGAAACTTTTTTTATAATATGAAACAGCAAAAATCTGTAAGAAATGAAAAGAGGAAAAAGTAGTAGATGAAATCAGGTATTTAAATGCATACAATTCTCTTGTATTAGAGAGAGAGAGAGAGAGATTTTTCTCCTCTTTTTTCTTCTATTTTCTCCTCTTAAGAAAAGACAAAGATGAAAAAGAGTGTATATTGTCAAATGACTAAGTTTGAACACGGTATAAAATTATTCAGGTTAGTCAAATCAAAATCCATACTTAGAAATTGCCTGTGACTTTCATAATAACTGTCTGGACAATAAACTGGTAGCTGAAATGCATGGCAATAAGGGCAAAATAACATGGTAAAAAGAAGCATATGGAGAAATTGGCTCTGAGCAGGCTATTACCACTCAAGAAAGAAATCTCAGAATTACCTTGAGTTGCTTTATAAAAACATAAACTCAATGTTTCTCAATAACCATAAAAGCAGGCAGTGTAATGATTAATTGGGAAAGAAATTGCAAACAAAACAGTGAACTCATTAAATGTCTGAAGTGTCCACATTGTGGATACAGCTCGTTGTTCTGGTCAGAGTTTATGAGAAAGTTATTGTAGAACTAGATAAGGTTCAAGGAAGTACGACAGTATGATCAGACACAGAGCAGTTCTGTGCAGGTAAGAATTGAATAGGTAGGGGCTTTTTAAGTTCTTAAAAAAATTGATAGTAATAAACAATATCATGAAGCGAAGGTTGTTCATAATACTCATAACAGTTCAATACTCATAATTAAGGCAACATATACTGAAATAATGAGACAATGTATTAGAAATAAACAATAGAGATTATTTTTTTTCCAAAACCTAATAGAAGTTCTATAGCATGTTGCAGAGTTCAAAAGGGTAAATGGACAGACTCCAAAAGATTCATAAAGGATAAATCTGCTGCTGACTAGGAAATCCAACAGACAAGATACAATCTCCAGGTTAGACGCTTCGATGGATCTACCACAAGACAGGTAATACTATGGATGCCAAATGTCTGCTACCAACAACTGCCAGAGACAGAGCAGTGGACTGGGTGAACCTTCCCTCTGAGCAGGATGGCCATTCTTATATTCCGATAGAAGAATTGTGTAAGTGACAGATTGTCAGCTTGTTGATGTAAAGCCAGTTAGATGAATCACATTCATATTTTTAAATTGTTACTATGCATAGTTAATAAAATAATTTTAGAAACTTTTTTCAAAATAAGGTCTCACATATCAAGCTTCACCTCCAAAGAAATAACTATTCATGGAAAGCGACCCTGAGTCCACTAAAGATATGTGCTTTTCTTCTATTTAGATTCCATTTACTAGAAGCCCAGCATATTGAGACAGCTTTCACAGATGGCGAATCTGAAGGAGCTCTGGCTGAACAAGAGAACCAGCTAGAAGGTGAAGTTTTTCATGTATATAAGTAATTAGATCTATTTTAAATGAACTAATTGATATGGTACACTTTATGGACAATGTCTCTTGCCAACAGACTTTCACATTGGCACTAAGAATAGATAAGCATACGCCTTGTTTTCTGATTCAAAAGGAAGCTATACTGGCTCTAACTGACCCAACAGATCATTCAGACAAGCCAATAAACATCCTCAAAATCTCTTTATTAATCTTCACAGGAATAGACAGTCACCAACTCATTCTCTTATAGCTCAATCTTATCAGCAATGATCACAAAATGCTATTAAGCCTACATCAACCCCATATTGAGCTAATATCCCCGTGTCTGGCCTCCTGGATAAAAACAGTAGAAGTTCAACTCATGTTCTGTGCATCAGCCTGTAAGTTCTTGGAGAGTTAGAGTGCTGCTTTAGTCTAACACCAAGCTTTATATAAGCTCTCCAAATGAAGATGAATCCATCATGTGGAAATAGTTCTAGTAATGAAGTGCCACTCTATGATCACTAAGTATGTCTCACTTTCCTTTTTCTAGTCATTAGATCTTACTGTGTCTGTGTCACTAGCTTAAAGGTTTTATAAGTTTCATATCTCTTCATTCGCAAGTAATTACGGACCATGATCAAACTATCTCTTAACTTTCTGCGGATAAGTTAAATAGGTTGAAAACTCTTTGTTCAGTTGGGTTCCCACTGCACTTTGTTCTCATAGAGGTTTTCTGACATGTCAGCCTACTTTCACACCTGAACTGAATGCCCTACTTCAGAAATAGACCTGATCACTATTATTACTATCTTCCAATCTTTCCCAAGAGAAATATCCGGTATATGACAGGCAGTGCCTACCTAAATGAACAAACACAGAATATATATGGTCACAAATATACAAGAACCATATGAATTATAATAATTGTAGTGGCAGGAGAAATATAAAGAGGATAGCAGTTCATTACATGGGTTTATTATTCAAAATTTGTTGAGTTCATGTCCATGTATGTCACTTTGGTAACCTGACTTTACTATAAGCTGTATTTAAGAAATAGTTAAATTGTTGCCTTAATCTAGGATCAGGCATCAGTGATATGGATTTGAGTACCTTTGAATAAAGTACATTTATTGAATTAATAGTAGTAATAGCATGCCTAATGTTCACACAAGGACAACTAAATGTAGCATATTGACTGAATGGTTCAGTAAAGTGTGCTACATCTCTCTGGTATTTTCAGTACTACCAAATTCAATTTTTCCTTTTGCGTTGTACGAACATACATTACTGTCTTTCATGGCAAAGATGAAAATAAAGGGGTATATGGTTATGTAACTTTCAATTTTGTTTATGGTATAATGCACATGTACAATTTTAGGAGCTGTCTTTCTGCAGTTCAGTCAACTACAGCCTGCTACAGAAAAGAAGAAAATACTGTGCTCTTTCATAGAGGCTTTATTTCTACTCTTTACAATCGTTATGCTGATAGTGCAAGGTGTCTCTCTTTTTTTTTTTTTTCTCTCCTCTCCTCTCTGGTGGGGAAAAATATGACTGAAATCGAGAGCCTTATCATGACTTAGCGGAAGATCATTTCAGCTGCAAGAGAAGTCAAACTGATAAAGGAGAATAAATTACAGGTGTGGCTGCTCTGCTTGCTCCTCTAGATATTACACCAAGGCCAATAAACCCCCCTTTCTGTTATCCTTTAATTGCCAAATGTCATGTTAATGGTGATCATTTCATTAATGTATTAACTAGAGAAATAATGGGGAAGGTGGAAAAACAACCAAAGCTCCTTCTCTTTTATTTAATCCCACTTTGTCCTTCTTTGCCGTTTACTTTTCATCATCTTATGTGGGCCAAGAGGAATGAATGAATTGCCATAAAAATCTGCTCAAATTCCAGCCCAGGATGACCCAAATAGTGGATCTGGCAAGTCTAGGTATGTGATGACTCCTAAAATCTTTCAGAAAATGCTCTTTCATTCCTCTTTTTGAGTTCTCTGATAAGAACTGCATGAGTCACAAGTTCTTGGCTGTAAAGCAAGAAGGAATATCCAGCAATGGGGAGCAGATTTTCTTTCTAGCTGAGCAGTCCTGGATAAAATAATCCATCTGGGCATGCACATCCTCTACGCCCTCCCGCCTTTTTTCCTTCTTTTTAGTCTCTATTTCTTTTCAAAGATTGCAAGTGAAAAATAACATAATCTGCTATTCCCATCATACAATGCTGAATTGCAGAATAGTAGAGGTAGGAATGGAATATTTGGATCATCTTTACTGCTGCTTTCTGACTGCTGCTATTTATTTCTTCATCATTAATAAGAGATAAAGCACATGACAAAGAGACTGCAGTGAAAAATGGGTGAGACTTTTTGCATCATTTTTCCAGAATAATTCTATTTCTGTATTGATGTCAACATATCACATAGGAAGGCTTTCTTTTGGTTGAGTACACACCAACAAACATTGATCAGGAGATGGGTGAAAAAGTAATTAACACTTGAGGAGTTCTTTGGAAGCAGGTACTTTTTTTTTTCTTTTTTGGATAGGTACCTGCAGTATAAACGTGAAGGACTCTGTTTATCTGCACTGCTGAAAAGTTACTAACATTGTGGGTCTGCAGTGAACTGCCACATAAGCATAAGTGCCTCCTGGAGTGTAGGACACCCGTGTGTTCTCCTCACTTCTACCAGTGGCTGCTGAGCTAATCACTTTCTCACTAACTTTCCCATAGCTTATGTTTGGAAAATTATCAATAAATATCCTTCAGCATTAGCTAAAGCTTTTTGTTTTGTTTTTAACCAGTTAAGGGCATAAATGAGACTTTAATAAACTATTTAATCAAGGAAAGACTACTAAAAGTAGAAATGGCTACACACTTTTCTCATTATTACTATTACAGATTTTTTCTCTCTATGTATTTCACGAGTAGGGATTTTCCTGAATATTGACAATTAATAACAATATATCTATGTCACTCAAGTTTAACAGTGGAGTAAATAATTTGAAATGTGATGTTTCATCTGCATAAACCAGGAGTAATATTGTTTTAAGGAAACCCTATCACCTGTGGCTTCCCTGTAGATCACTCCACATGGACGCAGAGGACAAGGAGCAACAGAAGTAATAATAATTAGGACTCCTAGCCGAGGTGAAAAGCTATTGCCTCATGGAACTATTTTCCAATCATTCTCTTTCCAGCTGAGCTGGACTAGTGACACTATAAACTGGCAATTAAAAGACTCAAGTTTAAAAATACCTTCAGCTTCCCAGGTCCCGTAATGGCAAAGGTTAAGTGGATTACGTGGAGATAATTCACTCAGTGCTGGGGGGAGGGTGCTGAGTGCTGTGGCTGTTGGTTGCCCTCTCTTTCCTCCTCAGTTACTCAAGGAAGGACTGTTACCGTAGCGTCAACCTTGCCAAAGTGAGACAGGCAGGGAGAGAAGGCCCAGAAAACATTCCAGTGGGATGCTGCAGTTACTAATGAGCACTGCACGGTACCTACAGTTTTGACCTACATGCAGTCTTGAAAACAAAGCCAGAAAGTGATGGTCATTCCTTGGTTACACTTTTTAATGCTACTACATGTTGACCACTAATCCAGACCTTTCGCTAAACATCCTCGGTTTGTTCTTAGGAAAAGAAATACGAATAAGATTGCTAGTGTTACCCAAACAACTACTATCCTCTGTGCTCCAACTGAATTAAAACCACCAGTTACACCTCGAGTTGTGTGGCAACACCTACACAGTGTTTCCAATTAACTTTGTAAGTTTTTAATCAGTGACAAATGCATTTTTGTAAATTCAATTTGCCTTTTATTGCAGCACCTATAAAATGTCTTGCAGCATTCCGGAACTTTGTGAACGTTTTACTTGCTACTGACAAACTGCAGCTGTCGGACCTACAACAAAGGCGAAGGTTTATGAGCAACTTGGATTAGGATGTAGGTTCAGCAATTAAAGTTCGAGGAGGGGGAGGGAGAGATAACTTACGAAAATTTGCACTTGCCCATGTGAAAAAAGCATCAAAAGCATTTCACATCCCAGGACAGTGTCAGTTAGGGTGGTTAAGAGCAGCATACTCTGTTTTCAACTCACTATTTGGAGAGAGTTCCATATGTGAAAAGGTCACGCAGATTTCATTAATAAATCTACGCTGCTATTTGTTTTCTTTTTTAATCAAACTCAAATGCATCCTGTTAAAGGGCTGAGTGATTAGATCGTAAATCTGAATGTCCTTGAAGATGATGAAGAAAATGCTTATCTGTAAAGCAATCATCATACTGCCAGTTCTATCATTTGCACATTTTTACAGGTGCTGGGAAAATGGTTTAATTTTAAATCACTTGCTTGAATTGCTACGTAAGAAAAAAAAATACGCTCAGAATTTACAGTTAAAAGAGCAACTGGGTTAGTTGTGGCATATGGAAACAAACCATTACATCTCCTCTTCTGTCTCTAAATTCAAGGTTCAATCAACATTCAGAATAAAAATGAAATAATATTTCATCTTATTGAAACACAGCACTCTACATTAACTTTTGCTTTTAGTTATATAATGTACTGCTCCTAAATTCAATAACTCTGAAATTGGTGGGTTTTAATGAGAGTTGACTACAGATTTACTTCCTTTAGTTTTAAATATAGAGACAGTCCAGATAAGATTTCTAATTCTATTTTGGCATATTAGTTAATAGAAGTCCTTGCTCTGTGCAGAGCACTATGTCTTCAGCCACATTTCTCACTTCTTTTTAATTTTGTATTTTCTTTATTTCTTTATTTTCCTTAATTTGCATTCAATAATAGTGTGTTCTTATGTCGTAAGCACTTGTAACATATTGCTGCAATTTCTACTTTATGTATGCTAGGTCTTACAGCTCATTTATCAGTGGTGGTGTCTGAAACCAAGCTGTGGCTATGGCTAATACCAGCAACAGATTTTTCTATTGTGGTGCTAGAAGGAAGTTAGGAAATTAATGTCTCTTTGGAATACTAACTT